ACCGGTACAACAAGTCACGTGACTTGTTCTGGTCGGGCACCTTTTCCGGGGTATCTGGAGGTCACTTTGAAAACAAACAAAACATATTGTTTAACAAATAATGCAATATATCGTAAAAGTATAAGGAACAGTGCAACCAGGGTAAGAAAAAAGAACACAGAAGCAGTCAAGGATATGGAGCAACTTTTGAAAACATAACAAAAGTAAATATATGTATTGGCATATATTTATTTTTAGAAAATACAGATTTAAGACATTTCAGTGAGGAGTGACAGTTTAATTTGGTTTAAACAAGATCAAAACACATGGTAGAACTTTAAATAAGAAAATATTTACCACAACAGATATTTTACTATCATCAGCATAATTTTTAGTGACATCCAATTTTTAATGTTTTTCCAGAATTAACTGGAGAAAGAACATGTAAAAAAGAGATAGTTAAGTGATTCTCCTCGACAGTCACAAAAGGCTCAACATGCTAGATCAAATTTAAATCTTTTCTGCAAAAATATCCACCACTAGGTGCATTTTATGATAGATTTTGAAGTGAATCTTTTTAACCTTTGGTGAAACTGTCCATTGGATGTAGGGAAGTAACAAATAAGTCTTCAGCCAATGTATTCTGAATGAAGGCTTCAAAATCTAAAGCTTTAATACATCCTCATCATGGCAGATGGTTTGTACTTGCATAGCACTTTATCAAGTCCAGAGGACCCAAAGTGCTTCACACTACAGTCAGTCACCCATTTATACACATACTAGCTAGCTCTGGGGCAGTTTGACAGAAGCAAGGCTGCCATGCACCACCAGGCACAAGGCCCTCTCACCACCAGCAGCAGCTAAGGGGGGGTGAAACGTCTCATTCAAGATCATTAGAGGTGGGAGGAGCAGGGATTGAACCAGCAACCCACTGACTGCAGGGTGAATTCCTACTTTCTGCCACCATCCCCATCATAATGTTTAATGAATTGAGATTTCCTTAAATTACAGTCACATAGAAATGTATTAGTTCTTTTTGTGACACATGCAGCACTTTTTTCTGTCCTGTATCAGCCAGATTTGCTCTGAAATACAGTCATATTCAATAAATTAGATTATATGACCCAATGAGGCTCGTTTGTCAGATAAAAAATATCTCTTGAAAATGCCTGCTTAAAGGTGTTAAGCAAGAGTTAAATCTGAAATATCTTACTTCTGTTTTGATTGTCTTTGGTTATTTTTTTATTCTATTTTTTATCACAATGTGACTGTACTGACTCCAGTCTTGACCAGAATTTTGTGGCAATTGTTCCCACACAATGCAGACTGATACACATGTTTCCCTACCAGGAATATGTGATAAAATCGGGCAAAAATTGTGTTGTTCATGTTCCCAGCTTTTAGGGACTCGTCTGTGTTGTCTGCATGCCACACTTTTCAGATTTTTATTTGTCAAAAATTCGAAAATCATGTAATATATTATTTCCGTTTTACATTAATGCACTGTGTTGGTCTGTTATTCCATAAAATCTCAGTAAAATGCACTGAGGTTGGTGGTGGTCCCACGCGTTCATTTCCAGCATGTTTTGTGCTCATCTAACCAGCAGGGAGCGCAATTTCCCTACTCATTCGCTGTGATGTTTGAGCTTTTTTGGGGGAAAATAAAACTGGATTTTACCAATAACAGATGAGCATCTTTTGGTCTTGATTCAAACGTAGAAATGAGTTAAAGGGCTTTGAGTTGTTGGCCTTGAAGCCATTCCCCCTCACCAAGCCCACTCTTCCTCCTTTCATCTCTGCTCTGCAAACACCGACTGAATGAGAACTCTCCTTGTCTCATTGTGAAAATTTCTACTTTTTAATTAATCATTCTTTGTGTATTCTCTCAATGCAAAGAGCATTTTTAAATAGATTTCAAATTAAAAAACTACTTTTGTGAAACATGTTGTCCTTAAAACTCTACCGTCTAAAACTTCCATTTTAGATCTAAGCAACAGTTGGACTCAGACAGACACGTGTTGCAGTATGAAAACAGTTGTCTGAAACAACCACACCCTTCTGATAAATGTGCATAGAAGGCTTTTCAAAATTTTAGTTCCAGAGAGAATCATGCCTGGTTAAGGATTTTATTTTGAAGGTCCTGAGGCTATAAATAGAAGGCATCAACCATCATAGTTTTGTTCTGGCAGTCCTGCTGAGTGTGATCAGACTCTGGGATACAACGCTTGGGGTCAAACAACCATAAACACACAAATCCAGACATTCCAAAGAGCACACACATCCGACTACATCAGTGGATGATCAAAGAACTTGATATTTTTAAAGTAACTCCATTAAATGCAGTTTAAATAGTAATTTAATTTTCAAACTGAAATCCTGACAATGTATCATAACCATGGTCACTATCAGTTTAACTTAGTGCATGATGAATGGTTTTTGATATATAATTTTTCCCCTAATTCGTGTCATTACATTGTTATGGTCCATAGGTGTTTTACAACTTAAAATAACTTCAGTTATTTTCTATTTTGATCATGTCATTATTTATTTCCATATTTCTTGCTGTCTTAGTTTATCCTTTGTGTCAGTTCAGTTAGTCTCATTGTTTGTGTGTGGTTTTTTTTTTAAATTGTTTCATCAGATTAGTATTTGTTTCTGTTTACTGTTCAGGTTTCCTTCCCCCTTTCATTCCCTTTGTTTCTTTCCTCACCTCAGCCTATCATTCTGCTCCCCGTCACAGCTCTTAATTATTTCCTCATTTGCCCCTGCCTGCTACCTCCCCCAGCTGCACCCACTTACTAGAAGATTGTCTTGTTAGAATTAGCTCTTCTGGTTCTTTTGTTATTTCCACTCCCTCCTCAGTATGCGCTCTCTAGTTACTTTGTCCTCCACTCAGTCCTTCATTTGAAAAATGCTTTTTGTATTTATTCATTTGGACATGAAAAATTAAACCTGTTTAAAAAAAAATAAGGGGTGGGTAAGAATATTTTTTCCACTGTGTCTTCAGTGGATGTTACAACTACATATAGTCTTTTTGGTAACTTCTTTCTGTATTACATTACACCTCTCACTGCCTTTCCAGGAAGAGCAGCAATCTACAGTCTGCCAAGAAAATGTAGATTCTTGGGAGAATCTACAGTTCTGCTGTCAGTCACTTTTGTGTCAGTCACTTTTGTGAGTGAATTTGACTAATAAAGAATTAGAAAGAAAGAGCTCTTTTCAACACTCTGCTTTTCGACCCACTTAGGAATCAACTCAGGATAATTGATTAAATTTTCTACAAGCTGAAGTGGTTTTGCAGAAATATTGCAAACTACTGAAATGCAGTGATAAAAGATTCCACCACTAAACTACCAGAATCTTTTTTTTCTGCAGTCATTAAAGCATGAAACTTGGACCCTGAAAGTCAAAGTCTTAAAGAAAATAAATTACGTGATAAGATGCTTTTAAAGTTCTTTTGGTTTCAATTTGTATGCACTGAAGTGCTGAAGTATTTTCTGCAGTCTCTTCTGCTTTAAAAACATTTTTGGTGGAATGTATGGATTGTGGAAGTCAGCACACTTTTAATGCACAGTCATTCTTCTTAATAGATCTTCAGTCAACTTTAAGATGATGTTAAATCTACAGACGTTTTTAATTCTATAGCCAAACCCGGGGAACAAAGCAATCAGTTTGTGGCAGTGTAAAAATGTCAGTAATTTTACTCTGAATAGATCAGATATATGCTGTTTATCCTAAAGGATGCTTCAGTTAAAGCTGCCAAGGTTTTGCCGTTTGTTTGTCTCTATCAGCTTTGCACATCTGACCAAATTCTTTTCTTGCAAAATAGCTCAGGTTCACTGGATGGAAAGTGACTACAGGCATCAGCCTTCAAGTCTAATAACAGATCCTCACTGGGATTTATGTTTGGTCATGGACTAGGCCATTCTAGCACATAAATATTTTTTGATGCAAATCATCCAATTGTACCTTTACAGTCATTGTCTTGGAAGAACAACAACCCCAGTTTTGAGCAATAATAATAATAATAATAATAATAATAATAATAATAATAATAATAATAATAATAATAAACACATTAAATGCCCCCTAATAACTGGTAACTTTTGGCAGCAAAAGTTAGACTCAAGGGTTTGCATTAACTGCCAAGTCTTTTCTCGCAGTGGAGGTTTTTATTTATTTATTTTATTTTAGTTTTTTTTTCTCCTTTTAGCGTGAACAGCTTGATCAAAGTCATGTCACATGACTAGATTAAACTCCAGACTTTGAATAGACTGTTGTAAAACTTTCATTTAAAATCTTCAGAGCCAATCAGAAGGGGACCTGCTGTTGTGCTTTGGCTCATTGTCTTGTTAGATATTAATCCAAGAGCTCTTCAGCTTAATGTCATAAATTCATGGTCACTCTTTTTTGTCATTCTCTGTACAAGACCATAACTCATCATTTTTCAACCCCATACAATGGATTGTGTGTTACACTGTAAAAACGAATACACCAATAATTTGGGTTATTTAGCCTGACAGAAAAGAAAAAAATGGGGATTCATTTTTCAAAGTCATTTGTTAAAAAAAAGACAGAAAATCATTCATAAGAAATAACAAAAAAAATTAAATGTCACAATATGAAGAAAAAATGGTATTCATAAAATGTGTGTTACAGTTCCACACATTTCTTTTCTTTCTTTCCTATGTTTTTTTTTTCAAATGACATATAACAAATGTGGTGAAAACGTGACTGAAAAACGAACTTCCAGTTTTTTCCTTCGCATGACAGGCTAAATAACACAAATTATTACTGTTCGTTTTAGACTAACTTTACAAATGGCACCCCGTAATATTCTACTCCTTCTCTATGTTTGAGGGCAAAAATAGAAAAGATAATGATATGATGAAACAACATATCATTATTATTGAAAAAAGAATTTTATGCCATGCGGCTGTTAAAATCATATTTTATGCTTTAAAGCTGCACAAATTTAAGACCGTTCGCTGCTATCTGACATCGACAAATCGAGTCTGGGTATTCATGTCTATGACAAAAGACAGGAAGAAACCCGGAAGTGCTGCAGTTAGCTAACATCAGCAGGAGAAAGGAGAAAGTACAACAGTAGATCTGCTTGTTTGTTTTAGCAGAAGCACTGTTTTCGTTCCGTACTCCTTACAGCAGAATGCCTGAAATTCACACACCAAGGTAAGACGAGTTAAATTCATACCGTTTTCATTTAGCATCGAACCATTTCACAGGGTCAACCATCACTGGTCCTGTTTATCCCGTTTAGCTTGGGACTGGGACGAATGTCAAGCAAAAGCCGATAGTCGGGTTTATCAGCTGGGCTTCCGTTGACAGCTGCTCATGTTAAGCAAAGACTATAATTGCTATAAACTGATGCTACACAGTTTAAATACCCCGCTGCTCCATAAACAAAGTGAAGATTAGAGCATTAATTAATCGTAGGAAATGTGACAATTTTAATCTAATAAAAGTTCTCCAGCTTGTAAGGTCAGTAACCTGCTGATGTCACCTGATATATTTGTTCAGTTCAAATAAGGCATGATGTTTAAATTCCTTCTACTTATAAAACAGACCAATTCTATAGCCTCAACCGAATTTTATTAGTTGCAAAAATCATATACATAAATCAAAAAATATTCAAATCACAAACTTTTCTCAAACTAGAAAATCCATGCTAGCAGGTGCTGAGCCTCCTCTCATGTTTGTGTGTTTTGCCATAAATGGCAGCTAAGTTAGACTTCCAGTCATCAGCCAGATCTCCTTCTGGTAAGTCATCACCAAGATTCAGGTGAGGAAGTGATGGAGTGTGTCACCTCAGGGTGTGTGGGGGCAATCACATGCAATGAACGAAGCCATCAAAGTTCTGTCACTGATCCTACAGTGACTCCAAAGATGAAAGAATCACGACGAACTAACGAAGATGTTACCTGTGTTCCTCTCTGTCCTTTGCGTCTCTTCCTTCTGCTCGTCGTCTTCATGGGAAGGATTCGAGCCGTTCGAACCAGTGCTGGTACCGGACTGGAGGGCTTCAAGGCCCACGCTGTGTTCCAGGAGATCAACAAGAAGCTGCAGGAGGTGACTGCATTACACACACCAACCAATTATTCTTACTTTAAACATAAACTCACAGAGAAGTTTTAACACGGTAGAACCTTGAGTTAAGATACAGCAGCTTCATGTTAAATAAAGCATGTCATTTGGATCTAAAACTGAAAAAAAAACAAAACAATTATTTCTACTGCTGGTAATGCACTGAAAAATCAACAACTGGATTTCACTAAGCAACAGGAAGGAGCATGCTGTAAAATAATTACTGCATGGGCAATTATCTTCCAGCTGGCAGCAAGTTATTTAACCCCAACTGATGCAATGAGAAATTCCTCACTTCTTAAAGGGGCAGTGTTATGTTTTTTTCCAGGCACATAGAACAATCGAGTAACTATGTTACTGTCGGTTATTATAAAAAATGCTGTATATATAACTATGACTTAAAAGAAATTTGACTTCGATATTAAATGCCTTGAAATAGGGCCTGTTTATTTCAGAAATGCCTGCTCTTTCTGAAACTCTGCCTTCAGGAAATCATCACAATATGGCTCCTCTGTTAACCCTCTAACAACGTTTTTGCCAGGATTTCACTGAGAAGTAGCTTGTGTAATAAGATAAGCGGGTGCACACCGGATGTTTGCTAATTGCTGCTGGCTAGTCTGAAGGAGCTGAGTGGGGGAGGGCTGCTTTGTGAGGTAGAAACTCTGAAGTTTGGAAACTGCAGCTCTGAGGAGGAGTTGCATCTTGAAGGCGGAGCTATGTCCACCCATCTGTTTTCTACAGCTAAATGGTTGCCGTGGAGATTAAAGGATTTCTCAAGGATACATGAAAGAATCAAGGCAACCCTCCAAGAATGTTTCTGATGGGGGAATAACATTATGACATGATGCAAAGCTTAAAAAGTGGATTTTACATAACACTGTCCATTTAAACAAACTTGGAAAGTTGGGCTGGGCGATAAAATGATAACGATGTCCAGTACTGATAGAAAATATGTCTAATCAAATGTTGTTAATTTCACTCAACTTAGATCCAGAACCTAAAAAAAATGTGCAACAGCTCAAGAAGAAATTATGGATAAAAGCTGAAAGGTTATGTAACCAGTTTGGCAGAATTCTGGATGTTTCAGATTAAAAATAATCAATTATTATCTGTCAAGTGATAAGAAATGCTAATATCATTTTTCAGTCATATGGCCCAGCCCTTATGGAAATTATGTTTAAGAAGTTTCAAATGATTGTCATAAAGCAGATAAAATATCTAAGGATAACACAGATATTCTAAGATGACAGTGCCAGCTTTCAGCCAGCTGACTGGCAGTACACAGCAAGGTGTCGCTTTGTCATTCTAAGCTTTAAACAGCTGAAAATAGCTCTGGACTTCTCTGGCAGTCCATTCTAACTGTAGGAACAGAATGACAGAACATCAGATCAGTTTTAAAACCTCAGCGTACGTTGATACTGGTAACCAACCCACGGCTTATGGGATGCTTCAGGTTTTTGCTGCGTAAATAAAAAAAAAATCATCAGTTTATTCAGTTGTTTGTGCTCATGTGTGCGCCTGCTGCACCAGCTCCTGGTGGCACAGTGGGACCGCCTCGCCGCACACGCATCACGTCAAGCTTATGCTGACTCAATCAGCAAATGGTTTCCTCATTGACTCTGCTGTCCTGAAGCACTTACCTCTGCCTGACCTCGGGGAAGGCAGGTTGATCTCCAGCTCTGTGGCAGGACCGGCTGTGAAAATTTGTCATAAATGACAGAAACATGAAGATAGAAGTGTCACTGTGTCAGTAAAAAAAAAAAAAGTCAGAACGGGTAGGTTGGGCTTTTTAAGGCTGGAAAAGAAATCTGCAGTTGGCGCCTCCCCACTGAAAACACTAAGAAAGACTAAATGACAACGGCTGACAGGGTGTAATTTTTGTCA